CTATAAGATGACGAGCTTCGGAGATTATTTCAAGACATTTTACTATATACATATATATTTTAATTTTGATTATCATTGACAATTATTGTTTTTTTTTTTCATGTACGTTTTTACGATGAAAACAAAAAGGTGATCATCATTATTTGATGTTCAACTTCTGCAATTTTGGGCTGAATTTTTCAATTTTCGTTTAAACCATCACTTTTTTTTGGATATCGGAAAAATAATTTTTGTATGTTGCTAGCAGAGAGTTAGTAGTAACCGTAGTAGCAAGCAGTGGTAGCTAACAGTAGTCAGTGTCACCCATAAAAAGCAGTAGGAATGTGAGTAACGCTAGTAGTAAGAGTAGAAGTAGAAATAGTAGTTATAGTTAGTAAATTAGTAATGGTGTACTTTTTGGATTTTTGTTTTGATTTTCGAACTTAAAAAAATTTTTAAATAAAAAAATTGAAGTTTAAAAATAGCGCACGCAAGCGAGACAGTCTGGCACGCAGCAGACAGGTTGAATAAATTTTCCATTGCATCCTGAGGTGGAAGCTATTACGTCTCAACGGTACCCTCACCTATAGAGTTATGTCCACAGCCCTGATGATGATGATGGTGATGGTGGTGGTAGTAGTGATGGCGAAGAAAAAGATGATGATGATGATGGTGTTGAAGATGATGACGATAACGATGAAGATGACGATGAAGATGACGACGAAGATAATGATGATGGTAGCGGTGATGGTGAAGATGATGACGACGATAATGAAAATGATAAATTGTCCAAAGCCCTGATGGTGAAGAAGAAGAAGATGATGATGATGATGGTGGTGGTGGTGAATATGATGACGATGATGATGGTGGTGAAGATGACGACGAAGATGATGATGGTAGTGGTGATGGTGAAGATGATGACGACGATGATGAAAATGATGCTGTGTTCATAGTCCTGATGGTGAAGATGATGATGTTGATGATGGTGAAAATGACGATGGAGATGATGATGATGATGGTGGTGGAGACGATGACGACGATGATGAAGATGATTCGGATGATGATGATGATGATGATGATGATGATGGCGGCAACTATATATCACCGATCATTATCTCAATTATGATTTGCATGATGTTAACGATAATGAGTAACTATCTGATGAGAAGGATGATGGAATCAATCCCAACAAATCGGAATTGTATTTGGCAATGAAATTTAGTGTTTTTGATGACAAACAGAGTTGAAAATGACGTCATCAAGAATGACTGAGATAATGGTGATGATGATGATAATATACATTTCTCTTAGTGCCAAATAGTAGTGTGCATAAATGTTTATCTCTACCTAATTTTTTTTTTTCATTTATCATCAACACAAAAATTTGATGTTTCAAATAAGATAAATCTTTATCGTCATCTTCATAATAATCATTGTATCATCATTATAGCGTTTATCATAATCACAATTTATATTTACAATCTTTGATTATCAAATTTATCCGGAGATATTTTTGTTTTCATCGGTCTGCATTTATATTTTTGTTTGTCTGTAAGAAAACAAACGCCCAATTCGTGACAGCATTATCTTCTTAATAAATATAGTTACTCACTGTCATCATCATCATCATCATCATCATCATCATCATCATCATCATCATCATCATCATCATCATCATCATCATCATCATCATCATCATCATCATCATCATCATCATCATCATCATCATCATCATCATCATCATCATCATCTTGTTCATCGTTGTCATCATCATCGTCATCATTATCGCCATCAACATCTTTGTCTTTGTTAACGTTTCGTTTCGCATCGTCGTCGTCATCATCAACATCATCTCCATCACCAAAAAAATCGTATTGATTAGTTAGAACTACCTCCGTCACCATTATCGTTTCATCATCATCACCACTCCATCATCATCATCATCATTGTTATCATCATCATTATCGTCCTTATCATCATCATCGTCGTCTTCATCATCATCATCATCATCACCATCACCATCATCATCATTATCGTCATCATCATCATCATCATCATTATCGTCATCATCATCATCATCATCATCATCATCATCATCGTCATCCTCATTACAGGAAGAGCCTTAAGAATTTTTCGTCTTTTGAAGCTGTTGAGTTTGTTGCGGTTGTTGAGGTTATCAAGATTGGTCAGATACGTCAGTCAATGGCAGGAGGTCATCACACCGTGTTGTTGATGTTGTTGTTGATGTTGATGTTGTTGATGTTGATGTTGTTGTTGTTGTTGATGTTGTTGTTGTTGTTGTTGATGTTGATGTTGTTGTAGACGTTGTTGTTGATGTTGTTGTTGATGTTGTTGATGTTATTGTCGTTGTTTTTTTTGTTGCTGTGTTGTGGCTGCTGTGTCGCTGCTGCTGCTGAATTGTTGCTGTCAAAAATAATGTTGTTTTGTTTTTGTGCACGTGTATACAAGCAAATAATTTAAATGAAAGTTGTGATGATAATTTGAATCTTTCAGTTCATATCTGTTGCTGGCAAGTTTATGAGGGTCTTCAATTTAGTCTGTCTGATGTTGTTGATTAGTCATTGGAATGGCTGCCTGCAATGGCTGGTCCCCATGCTCCAGGAGTACCCGCCAAACAGTTGGGTGGCTCTTGAAGAGTTGCTGGTTGGTTGGTTGGTTGGCTTGCTGGCTGGCTGGTTAGTTGGCTGGTTGGTTGGTTGGCTGGCTAGTTGGTTGATTGATTGGTTAGTTGAATGGTTGATTATTAATTAATTAGTTGTGATTGATTTGATTATGTTTTGATTGATTGTTCGTTTGATTGGTTATTTAATGAATGTTTAACTATTCAGAAAATTACGGAGAAACTTTAGTTCAATTTTTTTCCTCAAATGCTGACTTACATATTAATAAAAACGAAGATTTAAAAATTTCTGTTCTCATTAAATGTAACTGAAATGAAATTTAAACGAACCTCGCAAAGAATGCAGACTGGTTGGAACAGTACACGTGGTCCTTATTTAAAGCCTTATCCCACATGTTGTGCATTGGTTATGGACGCTACCCCCCACAATCTATCACCGATGTCTGGCTCACCATGGTCTGCTTCTCTGATTTGAAAAAATGTTTATACTTATTATATACTATACTATTCCAAAAATGTTCATTGATTCAAGTGTTGTTACTACTACAAAAAATGCACTCCCCGTTGCAGTCGTCATGCGTTGATGACAAAACTTCTAACTACAATATTTTCATAGTCACTTTCACCATTATCACAAACATGAATCTAAAAAATTAAAAAAGTAATATTTTTTGCAGGTGAGTATGCTGATAGGGGCAACATGCTACGCCATGGTTGTTGGACACGCGACAACACTCATCCAATCCTTCGACACCTCCAAACGACTTTACAGGGAAAAGGTTTTTTCTGCTGTTGTTGTTTTCATTGCTGTTGTTGTTGTGATTGTTATCGTTGCTGTCGTTGTTGTTGTTGTTGCATTGTTATATTGTTGTATGTTATGTAGTGCCTGTGTTGCATTAATTTGTTACCGGTTTGGTTAAATCCATGTGCAGTTTTAAAATGTTGTAGCTAATAAATGTTGATGCTGGTTAAAATTTAAATGAACGTGTGAACACATAAACACACACAGACACACAGACACACACAAACACACACACAAATACACACAGACAGACGCACACATAAAGAGACACACAAAGAAACACACACACACACGCGATATGTCAAGAACGTACAAAATGATCTTAAAGTCCTAAATGAACATGAATGAAATTTTCTGATAAAAATACAGCCACCTTGCAAATGGAGAATTAACATCGAATAATGTATACTTATTGTTGACTTTTAACCTGATGACATGACAGTCACACGCACCACGTACCACAACCTCACGCACGTTTTCACTCGCACACATTCACGCTTTCCTCATTAAAACCTCATTGTACGGCCCTACCCCCATCGTTAAATACGAACATATAACAGACATTATTCTAAATTTAAGTCTCATCTCCAACATTCGCCCGATAATTTTCCGCATTTCAATTTTTCTGCATGAGACGATCGCGATAATTAAACTTTCTTATTGAACATTTTGATGGCTGGGTGGATGCCGGGAAATAATTACCTGGTCGTACGTCGTAATAACCTTATCGAGCTGATGATCTATCTTACTCCTCTGCAGCCAGCCAGCCAGCCAGCCAGCATGTAATCACGCATAATCAGCCTCATCATCTGCTTCATCGTCTGCCTTTTCTACCTTCTCCTCTTCCCCATCTGCTTCACTATTGGCATCGTTTATTCCACCATCTTTTCTTACTTTTTTAGTACATAGACGATTATTTTTCCACTACTTTCATTATTTTTTTGTCGTTAATGTCACTTTCCTTTCTCGAATTTCGACACTTTTTAAAATTTTAAAACCTGAAGCTTGCCTGCATACATGCATATATGGTTGTAGAAAAATTTGAAAATGTTGCAAACAGAACTGCTGCAACGAAATAATATCACATCATTCAAAACATACAAGCTTCAAAAACAAATAAAAAGTTAAGTTTTTTAACAACCAATAAGCAACCCGAACAAAATAAATTATAACCAAAGAAATGAGTAACGGGTTGTTTGTACATACAGACGATGACGGTTATGAAATGAAGAAGATTTTTTATGATGCTTTTTTAAAAAATTGACAGCTGACTGTAAGTGCTTAACAACGAGTTTGTTTAACGTGTATGTATCGCTTAACATGATGGCTTGTAACGAATGTGCGATGTAAGTAAGGGTTTTCAAGTGCTCACCTATCATTCATTTGTGAAAAGCAGCCAAAAAATATTAAATCTTATCAAATGTTTGCTACACTGGCTGCAAAAGTAATAACCAATGTCATGTTATGGATGATGTTTTTTTAAATAATTTTCTCTAATTATTTCTACTATTATTTTGCTAGACAATAAATTGTTTAATCAGCGTCTGCATCAACTGCATCGTTATCATCTGCATAACCATCTTCCTCCTCCTTCTCCTCATCCTCATCATCCTCATCATCATCATCTCTATCATCATCATCATCATCACCACCATCATCATCATCACCATCCTCTTCATCATCATCATCCTCATCATCATCATCATTCTCATCATTCTCCTCCTCCTCCTTCTCATCATCATCACTATCATCATCATCACCACCACCATCATCATGATCATCATCACCATCCTCATCATCATCCTCCTCCTCCTCATCATCATCATCAGTTGAAGCAAGTGGAGGAGTACACAGTGTACCGGAAGTTGCCGAGAAACCTGCGTAGGAGGATAACGACGTACTACGAGCACAGGTACCACGGGAAGATGTTTGATGAGAAGAGCATCCTGGAAGAACTCAACGAGTGCCTCAAAGAGGTTACATTTCGGAAATTCATTTTTTTAACCTTTAAAATTATTTTTCAATAAATTGTTTAGAATTCGAATTTTTTCGATAAATTGTTATCAACGTTATATCAAATGTTTGTTGTTGTTAGAATATCAACAACATTTCATACTGCTTGGTTTAAATTTCATTTGGCTGGTTAACAATTTTAATAGTGACTTAATTATTTATCCACACCTCACACTTATTTGCCTATTCGAGCATTTTTTCAACATTTTTCCAATTTAATGAGTGTTTTGAAACAAGCACTAAATAAGCATTATTGTCGCATTTCGTCTTAATTAAATTAAGAATTTGGACGTTAACTAATTTTTATAGACAATAAAAAATATGAAACGATTTTGAGTAGAATCAAGAAGGTCAAATACTTCAGAAGGTCAAATACTTCGTGATGAAATGGAATTAAAAAATTCATGATGAGAAATGAAATACAGTTAATGCACATCTATTAGGCATGTTAGATAACTAACTCTGGAACACTTCACATGCACAATGTACTTGTATATAATCCATCCACATATGAAGGCAACCTGCGAGCAGAAACATGCCTTCCCATGAATAAATGCTGACGGATGTTTAATGTTACTTAACAACTCACAACAAACAACAACATCAACAATAACCACAACAACAACCATGTCAATAACAACAACCATAACAGTAACAACATCGACAACAAAAACAACCTGCAATTGTTTGAAAAAAACAGATGCATGCCCGAGAAGGAGAGGAAAGTTATTTAATTAATTTGAAGAGAAAAAAGAATTAGACGTAAGAAGAATGAGTAATCTGGCAAAGAGAGGAGTTTCAAAAAGTAAAATGAAGCCTTCTGTTTAGTTTTATAAATGAACTGCTAACAAAAGAAACAATGCATTACAGTTTAGTTCCTCCATTTTTCAATTTGTTTTATGATAACAAAAGCAGTAGGACATAAATTGCAAACAAGATAATATCTCATAAGAAGGATATCCTTTAAATGCGCCGTTCGCCAAACATTTGAGGGATGATCACTCCACCTTCCTTCTACTTCATTTCTTTGTATATCTTTACCTATCTCGCTAGTTGTACATGTACATATGTAGAATTATTTTGTCAATGCTTCTTCCATTGTTTGTATCTGTTAATGTTTTTGCTGGGTTTCTAATTTTTTTCATTTGTCTTTAAAGAAAATTTGTTTAACGAATTTTATATATTTTAACTTTTTCAAAATGTTAGAGACGACGAATTAAGCGTACGTTGGGTGAGCTGTTTGCTGTACCACTGTTGTTCTGTTCTCATGACTGTGTACTTTTTAATCTCAATTATTTCACCTTTATATACTTGCTCATTCCATAAAGCGCTCGTGCAAGCACTTCTGTGCTAGTTTTACATTTGCACAATGAATTGACTGGTTCGGTACATTTTCAATATTTTAAAACGTGTCAATCTAGTAACAAATTTGTTCTATTTATTCAATTATTATCTTGTTTATGATGTAAACATTTCATATTGGATGGGTGCCTGGAAAACAAAATTCAAATGAAAACCTCCATAAAAGAATAGAGAATTAAGAGAAAGAGAGAGAAGAGAGAAAGAGAGAGAGAGGGAGAGAGAGATATTTACAAAATTGAGATATGATGCAGAGGTCCCTGGCGACGCCGGAATTGTTGTTCTTTGAATGCGAGCAATTAGGCCAATGCATTCCATGTTTGCTTATTCATATAACATTCAACAAGGAATCACTACATGCACGTACATGCACGAATATTCGAACGTGTACAAATAATGTTTCTAGTTTTTGTATACCTAATTCGGTAATTAACGTGGTTATAATTTGACGTCAACATGCTTTACCCCTGTCGTTAGTGAACACGCGAATAATTTTGAAACAACTTAACTCATTCAATACATCTACGCACGCACACTTACATAAATGCAAACACACACACCACACACACACCTATATATATATATATATATATATATATATATACACACACAATACACATACCTATATATAAACACACACAATACACAAACACACACACATTTGAATATTTGAAAACTCGTTAAATTATGTAGGAGGTGATAAATTTCAATTGTCGTTCGTTGGTTGCTTCTGTTCCATTCTTCGCTCAAGCTGATCCTAACTTTGTTTCAGAAATCATCTCTAAGCTGGAGTTCGAGGTTTTTAAATTTTTATCAAGTAAATACATAAATATAAACTAAATTTTGAATGTTGCATGCCTGAATTAGATTTGTACTCTGTCCTTGTTCATAAAATTAAGCTTCTATGCGAAGGAAAAACATCATCACCAACTTTAATATCAGAATATCAACAAAATTAAAACTGTTAGGGTGATACATTTTTTCTGTGTTCACTTAGGGCTCTGAGTCCTGGACGATTTCTAAAAAAATTGAAAAAAAGAATAACGCTGTTGAGATGTGGTTTTTGGGAAGAATTATGTTGGACCTTTCATACTTCGAATGAGGATGTATTAAAACAGTCCGGTTATGAAAAAAGAAAGTTACTTCAGATTAGTTAAGTTACGACGTTACGACGGGGCAGTTAAAACTTTTTGATCACATCATGCGGAAGGAAAGAATGGAAAATCTAACAACTACTGGAAAGATTGCAGGGAAAAGAGAACGCGGTCATTCGTGAAGTCCTTGTGTCACTTGTTGATTATTATCACATTTCATCTACTACGAAGTGTTAAAGATCGGGTTTTGTGGAGGTCGATGGTCGCCAATGTCCTGAATCCTGAAAGGATAGGGCAGGAGAAAGAAGAAGATGTGGATGATTAATATGTAATTTAAATGAATTTCATCGATGCGAATATGTTTAAGAAACATTAAATGAACTATTATTGTTTGTATGCATAACTTAAGAACTTGTCTTTTACTCAAAGTATTTTTTTCATATATTTAATTTTCACATTTATATTGAATAAGAACTTTTGTCATTTAAGTATATTAAATTTATTCGATTTCGTTTTTTATTAATTTTTGTTAAATGTTCCTGGAATCATAATAACGTAGACGTAATTGTTAATTGTTAAGAGTCAATTGTTAATTTAGAAGTTCCATGCAAAATTACACTTATAACAAAAATTGCAGCAAACCTACTCACAAAGATCTACAGATATATGTTTAGCGTTTATTTCAATAATAAGGCCAAATTTTTATGATTGGAGAGTAACAAGACAACCATCACGGCAGTTGAAAAAATTTGTGTTTTCTTCATCTAAGAATTTCATGACGCCCGCACGCAACCTGCCCGTCAACGAACAAAAGACTCATTAACTCAATTCTAATTCTAAAAAGAACTTTCATCTGAGGAACAATAATCATCCTATTATCCCCTTTGTGCTGATTAGAAATCAAGTTTATTATATGTATGAATATTCATTAGAAATCAAGTTTATTATATGTATGAATATTCATTAAAAATCAAGTTTATTATATGTATGTTGCATAACTGAATCAAATTTTGAAGTAAAAAAGGTTTATCATTAGTCTGATCTGATTGGTTGATAAAATGATCGTAGGTGTACCAGCCTGGTGACGTCATAATAAGAGAGGGGACGCTGGGCGACAAGATGTACTTCATCCAGGAAGGTGTGGTGGACATTTACACGGGCAGTGGTGACCGGATAACCACCCTCTTCGATGGGGCATTTTTTGGTGGTACGTTCTTGCTGAACTGTGTTGTTCAACAAAATGTCTAAGTTTCAACTAATATTTATTGTTTGAAATGAATTTAATCATGAAATTACTTTGAAGACGATTTAATTTAATACAACAAATTGTTTAGATATTATTAGATGTGTAATTCAGAAGTTTATAAATGTTGTAAATCATGACAAAGATGTCAAATCATTTTATACAAGTGAAAAGTTTTTGAAACAACCAGAAATATGCTTACTAACAAACGCCAAACGAGTGGCCAACGTGCGAGCAGAAAGTTACTGCAACCTCTTCTCCCTCAGCGTTCAACATTTCAACTCGGTTCTCAAACATTATCCCGTTATGAGGAAGACCATGGAGGTGGGTTTAGGTTGATGCTAGTTGTTAATGTTGTTGTCGGTTGTTGTCAATAATGTTGTTGCTTTCTGTTGTTGCTGGTTGTTAATGTTGCTGTTTGTTGCTATTTTAATTAATTGTGGTCGCATTTAATTTTCGTCTTGTGTTGTTGGTGAATTTTTACCAGGTAAAAAATGTATTAACGTTTTTTAAATTAATTATTGTTTTAAATTAATTGTCGTATTTTTCCGTACTAAATTAAATTTTTTTGCAACTTACTATAAAAAATTCTACATAAATAAAAGCAGAATTTGAAAGTTTTGTTGTTTTGTACGTGGAAAATAATATCTATTCTCTCGCACCAAATAAATTTTGAAACAAAATACTTCTGCCATTAAATTTAATCTTTGAATAAAATGTAAAAGATGGAAAACCTTCAGTTTGATTTTTATTTTAAATCATTCAAAAGATATGCTTAAATAGCAAATTAAAAACGCCATAATTTTTTGATGGATAAAGTTGAAACTCCGGATAAAAACAAAAACGCCCACCAGGTGGTGGCCAGCGAGCGGTTGGAGAAGATCGTGAAAGATGGCGCTGTGAAGGTAGCGGAGATGCCGAGAATAAGAAGCTGCGTCTTCGAAGATGTGGCTGCCGACTTCAACATCGTACAGGAAACTATGAAGGAAAAGTTGGTCCCGGAAAACAGGAAACGATTAAAAGTGATAGACTCGCAAAATTTTGTGTTATTTTTTTCTAAAAAATTATTTTTATTTAGCCAACTGAGCAGCCATTATAAAAATGTTTTATTAATAATTATTATTATATATTCAAAATTTTTAAACCATTCCTGCGTACGAAAAGAACAAGTCACTTATAAACGTAAATGTTACATTTTTTGCATAATATTATATGGTCTGCAGTACATTCATTACATTTTGAAATATATGAAACCCTGTTTTAAATGCATTTGGCTACAAAAAGTTAAACTCAAATTATTCCATACAAATTCAAAATTTTTCAACCACAGACTCCGACCCAGTCCGATGAGCAGAGTTTTCATAAAAGTGCCTCCGAGTGCAACTTCAAGAGAAGGTCTTTCCACGAGAAGAAACCTTTCACGAACATCTTCGATGACAAATCTTACGATAACATCAGCATTAATAACATCAACGGCCTCAATAACAACAACAGCAACCAGCACGTTAACAATGACAGCAACGTTTTCATTGAAATATCGAAAAATGCACCAGTCGTCAAATTTGACGTTGCCATGTGATACGTTAGATGTTGTCAAGTGATATATCGATGCTATCACGTGATACATTGATGTTGTCACGTGATACATTGATGTATCCATGATACATTGATGGTTTTGTTGTACTGAAAACAACCAAAAAATTACTGTGAGAAACTAAATCACTTCCCAACTTGAATGTTAATAACATTGATAATATAAATACTTGATATAAAAATACTGAAGTATTTTTATACTTTTGAAAACCGCTTGAATTATGTATAGGTTATTTCAATAATCTACTTTTCACATTTTTCTAATTAACATAATTTTGCTTATTTTTTCAATGCTTTAGGTTTTTGGAGCAATGGTTTAAAAGACTATTATTAGTATGTATTTCAATGTATATAGACGGGTATTTCTGTGACACAAACACACACACAAACACACACACACACATATGATTATATGAATGTCAATACAATATTTATGCGATACAAACAGCATTTTATTCATTTTTTTTGCGGCTTTGTAACATTTTTTATTATTCTTCATTTTTTCTCTTTTTTTGTTCCAATCAGAAAAATCAATTATTAAAAGATACAACATGGCAGATAAAATTAGCAGTAATTCAGTGCTCAAAAAATTTTGTGAACAATCATCTTCTGATTGTATTCGAACCGAGTCACTACAAGACAAGACAAGACGCGCTGGCTCGTTGGCTCTGTCCTCTGAGCCAACGAGCCAGCGCAGGTTTATTGCCATTTCGATCTTTCGCACAAACTTGAAAAAATCGTTGGCAATAATTATTAGCAAATTTAGTATTATTTTGATTATTATTCTATTTAATTAATAATTTTATCATTATTATTTGTAATATAACTGTTATATATATTCGTTTTTTCTTTTAATCTAGATAATGTAATATCCTTTAATTATTATTTTATTTAATAGTACAATTTCCAATATTCACTGGTTTTCTTTCATAAAATTTCTTTCAAATTTTAGTAAAAACTAAAAAAAACAACACTTTTTCCATTTTATAGACGCTATTATAAACAACAAACAATGTCTTAGATGGATTTTATGATTCCAGCTCCTAGAATCACGCACACAAACATGCACGCACAAGTTTGTTGAAGGATGTTTTAATGAATTTTTTTATTAGTTTCAATAAAAAAATTAAAATAAATTGACTTTTTTTTAATGTTTTTAGATTTAAAAACTAATTTACTTTTTTTTTAATACTTTTCTGTATAAATCAATAGTGATCATCAGTTAGTGAGGCATTTGAAAGCTCGTGTTATGTTACAAAATGCAATCCAGACATGCAATTTTGTTTGCATACGTTTAGTTCAATAAAAATTATTCACTGTTAGCTATTTAGGAAGAATGTTTTGAAATTAGAACAATTTTAAGATTTCAGTTTTATTACGAATTGTCAAGAAGGGCCAAAATTGTCAAGTTGCGAAAGTTTGTCATTCTGATAACCAAAGTTTTCAAACTTTCAACAAACAAAACAATGGGACATTTTTATGCTCATAAATCATAATCATCTGATCTATCAATCCATAAACTTCATCTGGAGATGGAAAACGAACCGAACAAACCGAACTCGAACTCTATAGATGACGCAACCGAAACGAACTTTGAAACCGCTGATTACAAATGCTGTTTTTAGTCAGTATAATATTATTTTGTAATTTTAGCTCAAGAACGAAATGTATTTTTAAAATTTTTACCGTTAATGCAAAGTTTTAATTTCGTGTGTTGTAACTAATAACATAGTTTCTGTGATGTTGGTCGGATCGTTATTGTTATTGCATGATTAAACCAAACCGAACCAAATCCAAACCATAATCGTGGTCAAACCGAGCCAAACTCGAACTTAATAAGAAAGGTTTGGTTCCCATCCCCAATCTCATCGTGGATGTCTGTCCTTCGATAGATGGTGTCGTCTTCATTTTTGTGTATGGGTTCATTTTTTAGTTATTTATCATGATGATGAGGATGGTAATAATAATGACGACGATGTTGCTGCCGTTGATGTTTCGGTTGGTTTTTTCTTGATAATGCAGCTCTGTCAAACGCTGAGCTGTTTCTATAAAATTCTATATCAATACTTATAAATAAACTCTCGTAGCACAAAGGCTGTAGCACTATAGACAGCACACGACGCACATACACATCATGTATGCACGAGCAAGCACCGCATCATACGCGTGTGATGGTCTTTGAGTTTCGGACTGACAGTATTCGTACCATACCAATGCGTAAAAGCAGCGCGATACACGGCACTTCTGCCGACTGAGCTAACTTTTGATGTTGATGACGGTGACAAAAGTGGTAGAAAATGTAAACATTGCATTAAAAAAGTATATATACCAGCAGCATCATCAAATATTTACAAAAGTTAACTGAGCGTTAACGAATGTACGCGAGGGCTTAGCCATCTAACAATAAAAGTTAAAAGTACAGCAATTTTCATTCCATATTGCTTTGTTATTATGCCGTCTGTCCATTTCAAACTATTTTATTATTCAAAAGGGAAACAATGGTCTATTTTCAGAATTTATATATATATATATATATATATATAAATATATATATGAATTAATTAATTAATTAATTAATTAATTAATGGATTAATGAATTAATGAATATAATCAACGTCGATCGAATTATATATTTTTTAATGAAAGAGAGTTGCATTGAAGTTTTGGAACAATATCAACACAGAAAACTAAAGTTAACAAACGACTGATTAGGAGAGTTTAAAAATGGACGGGAGACTTCTTGCTCAATCTGACAGTTTTCCAACAGTCAGTTTTGTAACTGGAATTTAAGTGGAATGATTGGAAGAGTGGAAAAAAATTTACGTTTGAATGATTATTCTGCACAATTATTTTCAGATATTGAAGACCGTGTTACTGACAGGGGACATGTAATTTCGAAAACACATTTCTTATACTTTATCATCGTGGTTTGGATTTTGTTATAAATAGTTTTAACAGATTTAAATTTGAATAGTAATATTCTGATTGAATTTTTCTATTGCTTTTTTTAAAAGTATGTAAAACCGAAGCAATAATGTTTATTTTTATTTAATAAAAACAACGACATTACGTGATTGTGGTGGCGAAATCACAAAAAAAATCTCCTCCATTTAAACAGAAAATTATAATTGAAATTAATGCACAAACGTAAGAAGTAAATGCGTAGAAGTGAAATTTATTGCATTGAGTTGTGTTTGATGTTGTTGCTTGTTCGTTGTTTTATTTGAATGTCTTTTGGTTGTTGATGGTGTTGTTTGATAATGTGTTGATGTCTCTTTTGTTGATGTTCTGTTGATGTTTTGGCTTTTTTGATGTCTTTTTTGTTTGTGTTTGTGTGTTTATGTGTTGTCCGATAATTAACAATGTTGCATTAATGCTGTTGTTTGAGTGTCACGTGGTAAACAAGGTTGATATCGGCTGGTGTTGAAAAAACAACGACGATGCTGTATAGAGAAAAACTTATTTAGTGTTATTTTATTGCTGTGATGGAATGATGGAAACCCGTTGTTGTGTGTGTTGGTAGTGTTGTGCCATTAAATCAATAACAAGCCTAAATGGGTGGTTGACATGTTTTAAGGTGTTGTACGTTTGGAGAAAAAACGGAGGTGTTAAGACGTGAAATGTTGTTTACTGACGTTGTTGCTTCTTACTAAGATGCTTTTTGTTGAATTGATGTCTTTAATTTCATTGCATCAATGCTAATTTTTGGAGTATGGATGCTATGTTGATGTTGTTTGGTTGTTGCTGTTGTATCTTGTTGGGAGTTGTGTTTTGTAGGGCCGGGTTGATTGGATGAAAATGAGTTCATGCTCTTCTGCTGGTCATTTTTCGTTGACGTTGTTTGATGTAGCGAAATTTATTTGATTAACCTTTTTTAAACAATTACTCAGGCAAATCAACCGGCATATGTAAAAATAAAAATTTCAAATCAGTTTGTAAAAAATGTTACGTACGTTCATTTTAATGTAACGGTAAAATTGACATCGAATACTTTTGAATCATTTTTAATGTTATTTCAAACTATCCTAAACTTATATTGATAATAATTGTTTAAAATAAACTGTAAAAATAACAATGGAAAATATGATCATAAATTAGAATTTTTAAGAATGTTTAGTGCCTGTCAAAGAGCGCTCTTTATTTCAAACAGCTCTTCATTTTTAACGTCGGTGCAAGTGAGATTTTATCATTGGTGTATTGGAAGGCTTTGATGATGAATGATTAAAAAATTTAAAGTTCGTTGGAACATAAAATTTAAAAGATTAATTCATGTTGTGTCCATTGTGTTTAGCAGTATGAAAATAAACTACAAAATAGGGGTAAATCCAGGTAGATACAACCAGGTAGATTAACCACTACTGTTTTATGACACATAAGTAGGGTAGAGAGGTATGTTACAAAAATTGTTGAACTTTCCTCTGGAATAAAAACTGATCCCTGCAGCGTAAGAATGTTGAAACCAAGTTTTGTTTGAAAACACCGGAAATAGTAGAGAAATGTATACAGTCGAAAGATGGTTACAACCAAGCATGGAGCAATAATTAAAATATTTCTCTCGAACTACTGATTGAAAAATGAACGTGAATATTTTAATTCAGATTATCAGAGAACGTGTGCCTGGCAATTTTAATTATATCTTAAATTCGATGAATCTGTTATAAATCATTTATTTAGTAGCATATTCAAACAACAATGCAAAGTTAGTTGCACCATGCATGCATGTATGACATTTCGATTTAACGACGTCATTACGCTCATTAAAATGTTGGAAAACCCAATGACTCATCAATTATTCCCCATTGCAAGAATTACTAATAAGTGTATTTCTCACTTAAATCCGTGTACTTCAAATTTTTTTTAATTTTTTTTTCATTCATCAAAGTTGCACATGCATATACATTTTTTCATTCAGTTGAAGAGTTACAACACATGCACACAAAATATTTCAATTGGGTTGTTATAGGTCAAAAGATGCGTTGTTGAAGTTGCACACAAGAAAATATAATTAATTAATCAAATTTTTATAAAGTAATTTGTTAGCCGGTTAGTTGATCACTTAATTCATACTCACAAAATGTAGGTAGCTATTGATGGGAATTGACTTAAAGAATGAATGAAATTAACATCTTTGTACGATTCAATGAAAAAAAAAACATTTACATCGTTCTATAGCTTGTGAGGATGAATCAGTTTGATTATGTGATGTAGTGAGACAAATGTCTTGCGTGTGGTGAGACTAAGGAGCTGTTCATCACAAGTCGGTGGTCAACGGCGAAAGTGCAATTTTGTTGGCTTCCTCGTCTTCTGAGTACAACTTCAAATCATTTGCTACGATGAATTTACAAGTGTGTTGCTGCTGTTGCTGCTGCTGATAGTGTTGTTGCGGTTGTTGCAATTGTTGACGTTGTTGTTGAGTTTGTTGTAGTTGTTGCTGCTTACGGTATGGTTGTTGATTTTGCAATATTTGTGGTTGAGATGGTTGATGTTGCAGCATTAGTTGTTGTGGTTGTTGATGTTGCAGTATTTGTTGTAGTTGAGGTTGTTGTTGTTGCAGTATTTGTTGTATTTGAGGCTGTTTTCGACGTTGTGGTTGCGGAATGAATGCTTCGATTTCATGTTGTTGATGTGAGGTAGTTGTTTGTTTCATCGCTGGGAGATAGCAAGATTTGAATTGCAGTTGCTGTTTTTGAGTTTGTTGTACGTTTATGTTTTCATTGTTGCATGTGTAATTTAATCCGCTTGAGTGTGCATAAGATGATGGTGATGACGCAAAGGAGGATTTTGTAGAAATAGATGGTCGCTGATAACTTGTTTGGCCCATCATCAACTTTTGAGGGTTTAACGTTTCTAAAGTGTTGGTGCAATTTGCTGTTGGGACTGGGCTTGATGTTGATGACGCTGTAGCTGTTAATGTTGTTGTTGGTCTAAACGTTGTTGCCGTAGTCTCAATGTTTGAATTATATTGCGCTGTCGGACAATGAAATATATCTTGAGATCGATTAAGATGACGAGAGTTTATTGACTTGTTACTGAAATGGTTATCGCTTTTATTATAAGTACAATGGTTGTCTTGGTTGTTTCCACATCTCCTTAAACTGTTGATGCTGCTGTTGAGAACGCCTGCTTGATGCATAGTGGCCGAGAGTGGTTGGTGATGTTGGAAGTTAGCAGCGTCAATGGAATGACTTCTGTAGTCTCTGGAAACGTTGGAACACTGTTGTTTGCTGGTCTGGTTGTTATTATTTTTAAAAGCAGAAGCACTATAGTTTTGTTTGTTGTTGTTGCTTGGTTCAGGTTTGAAATCTGGAAGTAGTACACTAGTCTCGTGCGTGTTGGAATGTTTTAAAGTTGCCTGTTTTTGTGCAATACCTTCAGCGCAAGTTTTATTAGTTTTGTTGAGAAAATCATAGTCAGTGTTTGTGTTACTGTTCATGTTATGATTGATGTTGTTGCTGGTGCGTTGGTTGCAGGCAGTGAACAACAGTGTTTTCTTTTTGGAATTGTAGTCGAATGTTGAGATATCGTCTGATGCGTTATTGCTAATTATGTCGTTGTTTAAAGAATCTGCTCGGTGAGTGAGTTTTTGAGTTTGTTGATGCTGAATTGCATCTGGTTGGTGCTGTTGCTGGGAATGTTGTTGCGTATGTTGTTGTTGTAATTGTTGTTGTGGTTGTTGTTGCAATTGTTGTTGTGGTTGTAATTGTTGTTGTGGTTGTTGTTGCGATTGTTGTTGTTTTGGTAATTGTTGTGGTAATTGTTGTTGCTGTCGGTTTTGTTTGTTCAAGTCGTTGTTGCCGTGAAGGTCTGAAACATATGAGCGAACATCATCATTGTCGGAGGGAGAATTTGGTTGATTGAGACTACTCAGCAGACCATCCATCAAAACTTTCAAAATTGTCTTCACGTCTCTAGATATTTCAACGAGATTCTCGTTCAAGTGACTCACTCGCTCGTCCATCTGTCGCAAAGATTTTTTCGTTTGAAGAAAGTTTTTTTGCAACTCGTTGACCAGCTGCTTGTCGTCGAATGTGGAATCGTGTTGGGTGATTGGCAGGGACGATGATGATGCCTTGGTGGAGGACGAGGTGCTCGATCTTCTGGCTTTTATTTCAGTTGGACTGGCTTCAAAAAATTAAAAACTTTAAATAAAATACTGAATCAAACAGATCTTTGCTTAAAAAGTTGATATTTCAAAATTTAGTAAACTGTTAAAACGTTTTATATTGTTATAACCGTGCTACCGAACGCACTAGATTCTAGCGTATTCTAAAATGTTCTAGTGACTGGAGCATTCTAGAGTATGCTAGAATCGGACCATCTAGAAGAATCTAGAAACGACGCTTGCGAAGAGTATATAAGCGCACGTCGCAAGAAGATTAGTGATTAGTGAAATCCGTGATTAGTGAAATCCGTGATTAGTGAAATCCGTGATTAGTGAAATCCGTGATTAGTGAAATCCGTAATTAATGAAATCCGTGATTAGTGAAATTCGTGATTTTGTGAATAGCGATTCGGTGAATTATTTAAAGCGATATTTGATTTGTTTGTTGACGTTGTCATAGCGATAGATTTTGAACAATTTAAAAGTTAATTGTTGCGTTAGTTTGAATTTGCTGGAAATAAACGATTAGTTGATTTCTTCTGTAAATAAAGTTTAATAACTAATAACTGTTTGGAGTATTTTATTCAATCGAAGATTTGAACCCGTCGCATCGTAAATCGGTTACGACAGCGAGTATTATAACAATATAATTTACGAAACAATTATTTACGCACTGAAAACTATCAAGAACATCAGACAATTTAAACATACTGAGCAGCGAAGAGTGAAACTCATGATCCCTGTTTGTGAATTTTTTGAATCTTCCCGCCTGATAGTGGGGTGGCGTTTTGACTTGCGAAGTTTTTACGTTCCTAAAAAAATATCAAATAATTTTTCCAAATAGAAAAGTTATTTTTAAAATCTTTCATGTTCTTCAACATAAATTTTTGACAAAACTTAAAAATCAAACGAGTCATGTATGAGAGCATGTACACTTGGAAGTCACTGCAATCAATCAAACACACATTAACATCTCTGTAAACAAAAGAACCAGCATCAAAAACATCACAGAAATATCGTGAAGAACATGAGTGAGCGAGCACTACATCCGTCTCTTCACAACAAGCACCATCACCACCACCGCTTACACAACCAGCAGCAGCGACAACGGACACACAAACGCTCACCTGACGTCTGATATTTTAAGATTCAGGATGTTCTCCTTGCCAAACGTTACCGTTTTTTTCTCGTTTTTATCCACTGAATGATCGATGCTGCTTTTTTTCTGTCTGTTATAAGTGATGTTATTGTTTGTGTTGCTTGTGCTTTTGCTATTGTTGGTGATAATATTGTTGGCAGTACAGACGTTTTTGTTGCTGTTGTTGTTAACGAGGGTTGGAAAGTTATCGGTTCTGTTGAACTTTTTAGCGGAATCTTTTATGGCGATGTTGTTGTCACTGCAACTATTAGGAATGATTCGTTTGCTCAGACATTGTTGGTTGTTGTAGATGTTGTCGTTACTGTCATCCGTGCTGTTGTTTATGTTGCAAATGTTGTCTGTGTTACTAATGTTGTTGTTGTTGGCGTTGCTAATGTTGTTGTTGGTGTTGTCAGAATTGATGTCATTGTGTTGAACAAAATTGTTATTGATGTTGTTGTTGTTGCTGTTGTTGTTGGTAGTGGTGATGGTGTTATCAGACCTGTTGTCGCAGTTGGGACAATCACTTGCATCATCACCGTTCAGTCGCTTTGCCAACAAATCAAAACAATGGTTTACTTTTTCAGACGATGCGAGGTTTTTGTTTGGCTTTTGTTTACTCTCATCCTTGAAACTTTTGTTACTGGTGCCACCACTATCATTATCATTGTTATCATCGCTATAATCACTGACATCATCATTTATATCGTCCAAACTTTTGTCATCCTCCGTTATTCTGTTATCGTTGGTCAGTGCATCAACATGATCATTAAGACAACTTCTATCAAAAGCCTCATCGCCATCATCTTCATCATCATCTATTTTACCGTCTTTCAACGTTATTGATGGCAAGATGGTGTAATTTTCATCATTTTCTTCGGCATCAACGTAACCTTCCCGAAGAATGTAGGTCAGGTCGTGAACTAGGTCAGTCTCGAACTTTTCGGCCATTTCTGGGTACATTGCTAGAATTGAGTGCAAGCCGTCAAGGGGAATGCAGAGCAGGTCGCAATACGTTAGCGACTTCACCTCGCAGTTCGACTTCACGATCGGGTCTGTGTATCCAACGTCGGTTCCAAATAAATCACCTTTTCCTGAAACAATTGGTTGAGTGAGCGGTTAGGCTATTAGGAACGTAACGCGATAATTGGTTGGTTGGATTGAGTAGTTTGTTAATGCAACAAATTTATTGGTTGAAGTTAAAGTTCAAATGATAGAGTGTCATATTCAAAAGTTATAAGTCATCTTTTAATAAATAAAAAATCATCTCGTCGCAATTATCGTAGATCAAAATTTTTAAATTTGTAAGGTAACTTCGCGAACGCATATTCATTTAAAACCAGTTTGTTGCTAATCAGATTGTCAACAATCCGCCATGATGTCTAGCCAATGTGTTGCGAAATGTTTCAGTTAAAGAATGTTGAATTTATTTTTAAAAAAAATGAGCAAACAGACAGTAAGACGTATGTGACATTGGAGATGCTTTATTTTGGAAGGCTTCGCTGGGGATTGTTTGCTAAAAAAAGAAAAACATTTACCTACTTTGAACATTTATCTTCGTACATGGTCTGCACGTTTGTTTGTTTGTATTTGTGTTTGTTTGTATTTGTTTGTATTTATGTTTGTTTGTATTCATGTTTGTTTGTATTTATGGTCGTCTGTTTGTTTGTATTTATTGTTAGTTTGCTCGTATTTATGTTTGTTAATTTGAGTATAACTTTAAAAATTGGTGGCATGATAGCATAGTGATAAAAAACGCAGCGCTTGGTCATACTATGCCGAGACTGGATTCGATTTCATGAAGAGCCCACTACAATTATATTTATGCATAACGTCTCATGTGTACGTAATTTCAAGCGTATTTCCATAAATCGTGCATGTGTATGTGTTGTTGATACTTCTAGACAATGCATGGGAAAGATCTGTTTTTTTTTTTCTCAAATTAGGAATTGGGACCCGCCGATCTTGCAAACATGTTTACGTGCTGTCTGTTTCAATAGCATGGTTATCGGGGTTTATTTTTATCAGTCTGATTGCTTTCGCATTTTTTTTTATGATGATTGAAGATTAATCACATTAAGTATTATTTCGTCAATTTTTCGTTTTGCGGTTAATTACATTTTTCTATTTAAAAACTTTGATAATAGATTAAATAACATTTAAAAATCTGATTCCAGGTATGTTAGAAACAATGCATTCAACACGTGTTGCCATATTAAAAAGTTAATCAAATGAATTACATCAACAAAAGTTTATAACGATCGAAGCAACCACCTGATCATTTATTTTGCTCTGAATTATTTTAATAAATGCTTATAAAATTTATAGAAACAACATTGGCAATAAGAACAAATAGAAATTAAAACTTTCACAACAACAACAACAACAACATCATCAGCAATATCAACAAAAATATCAACAACATCAACAACAACAACATAAACAACGACTTCGCCAGTCCTTACAGCAACTGCACCAGCCACAACAACCTCGAGAACATCTGCAGCGGCGTGCAAATGTAAGAATTTGAAAATATTAAAAAAAAAACAAATCGATAACTGTTGAACAAAAGCATCCCACAAGCCTGTTTACAATAACACGCACGCACTTACACACGCACATACACACAACAAACAAACGCTCACACAGCTAGCAAGCAGAGCAAATTATAAAATGCACTCAACTAACCCAGAATAGCAACAACCATGGATTCTTTTAAAATCTCCATCGATCCATTGATGACAAAATAAATGCACGTCATGACGTCACCCTTGTGAATAATGTATTCGCCAGGGGCACAAAACATCGGCTTAATCATCAGTGCGATGGCTTTCAGACAACCCTGGCTGGCATTCTCAAAGATGGGCAGAGATAGGACCTGCTCGTTGGAGATTTGTGTGTAGGGAAAGCGATTAATCATATTCTCTCTTGTTATTCCATAGGAAACTTTCACATTTTCAAATGCAAGTTTCGTTTTCATGAATTAAGTTAAACTATGTGACGGAGAAAAAGTTTTTGAAAAAATATTGTTAATTTTACAATCATCACCAATTACACTTGTTGTCTAAACGATAATATTGTCATATTTGCATTTTTAAGAATTTACAAAATTTTATTTATTGTTGTTTTATCACCATAATCATCCTAATCATCATCATCATCATCTTAATCATCATCATTACCCTCTCATCATCCTAATCATAACCATCTTCCTCATCATCCTCATCACCATCCTCCTCCTTCTCATCATCATTATCACCATCCTAATCATCATCACCATCACCATTATCATCACCATCATAATCATCATCATTTGGGAACTACCTCTCGGTGCATGTGCATGGCAATATCACCCTGCATCTCGACCGGAAAATCTTTCATTACCTACGAGTCATAACGTGGTTGAGCAATGATAAATGTTTGTTTGTATGTATGTATGTATGTATGTATGTATGTATGTATGTATGTATGTATGTATGTATGTATGTATGTATGTATGTATGTATGTATGTATGTATGTATGTATGTATGTATGTATGTATGTATGTATGTATGTATGTATGTATGTATGTATGTATGTATGTATGTATGTATGTATGTATGTATGTATGTATGTATGTATGTATGTATGTATGTATGTATGTATGTATGTATGTATGTATGTATGTATGTATGTATGTATGTATGTATGTATGTATGTATGTATGTATGTATGTATGTATGTATGTATGTAGTTTGGATTTATGTATGTTTGTACGTACTTACGTACGTATGTATGTATATATGTTTTAATAATATTATGATTATTATTAGAGAATTTATATTCTAGCGCCCTTCAAAACCTTTCAAAGACGCTTCTCAAGTCATGTGTTTTAATTCATAAGAAGATGAGTTTTTAGTTCTTTACGAAATTGTTGAAAAGTTAATCCAGACTGACGAAGGTGGCTTGGTAAATCATTCCAAACTGTTGGACCAGCGACGAAAAAATTCCTGTTTCCTACAACCAATTGTGTTTTTGTACCGATAGAAGATCCTGACAATCTGAACGCAACTGTGGACGTTGAACAGGTTTGAACCCATGCAAACACTTGTCAGACAGGTAACTCGGACTGAAACTATGCAATCGTTTGAATACCATGGTGGCGATTTTGACTTTGATATTTTGCCTAAAAGTCAGCCAGTGCAGGTTCAATAGACTCTGACTAACACGGTCAAACTTCAATCCACCAGTAACTAGATATATATTTATACTTCAATTTTGAATTGACTGTAGTTGGCATAAGATTTTGTTGGAAGTTCTATAAAAAACACTATTAAATTAGTCTAGCTTAGAATGAATGAACCCATGAACCAGACATTTGAATGTATTCTCATCAAGCAAATTTCCGATCTGTCTGAGCCTTCGTAGTTAAAACGAACATTCCTTGGTCAATTTTTGACATGATGATCCATAGACACATTTTGATCGAACGTGATTTCCAGATTATTGGCAGATGAACAAAACTCGATAACCGATGCAGACATGTCAATAGAGTTGAACGAATCATTTGCATTGTTGCCGGGTTCCGACAAGCAGAACGCTCAATTTTATTCAATTTATAAAAATTTACAATATTTATTATTTAATTCATTTCTAATAATTTTTTAAAACAAATTTCGATTTGAATGAAAATAATTTCCTACACAACCTCCTGCCTGTCGATGCCGCTGTTCAGTGACCAGGTGGTCTGGAAGTACTCCTGCATGCGTTGTTTCAGTGGGGCGGGAATGTGGTGGGCGCGGAAAAAATCTTTGAGGTCCCTGGTTTTAGACTGGTAGATGGCTCGGCGGGCGTACATTCGCTGGATGATGGCCGTCACATTTCCGAACACCAGCGCATGCATCAGCGCTGGTTTGGTGGATATTTCAAAGTTATGGAATATTATTTATACCGTGAATTTTGTTGAAATTGACTTCTTGCAATAAAAATTAATTACTTAGAAAAGAAATTAAATAAATTATTCAACATTTATTGTTATTCTACAGAATATTGTCAATGTTAGAAATAGGCAAGCGTTAATTTTTACATCGTGTGCCATCATTTTGTACCTAGAATAAAATCATCTTTTTTGTGTGTGTTGTTTTTGAAGGGGTATGGGTGTAATGCGGTCTGTTTAATTTGTGCGTATGTGTGATTTGCGTTTCTAATTCGTTCTGGATTTAGGCTGCGGAGAAACTGCTTGCGTGCGTTGCTTCAATTTTCGATCGCACCAATCCCCAGTCATGCTTGCAATGCTTTAAAAATTAGGCAGTTATTTACCGACGAAATGAAACTGATTCTACGGAAGTTCATCTATTCAAGATGAAAGTTGCTCTACTGTTAAAGTTATGTTTTAATTATTAATTTTAGAATTATTTTGAAATTAGAACCAAAATCACAATAGCACGCACATGTAACATTCAATCAATAGCAATCAATCAAAGACACAATTGAAGTTGCATGTTAATGTTAACTAATGTTTCTACGAAATATGAACAAGTGCATCTTATGACAAAACCTATGATTCAACTCCAAAAAATTCTACAGAAATATGAAAAAATGCAAGTTTGTTTAAGAGCGTATTATAGAGTTATATAGAAGTTTTCGTGCAGATTTGCTTTCAATCATTCTTTTGTGTATTCATGCAATCGATAGAAGGGGACGAGCGGTTACAAAAATGTTCACTTCAATTTGAAGTTTCTCTTGTAGAAGCAGTGCAAACCTTTTACATTGCAAACATCAGAAATGGACAAGAAAAATCTTTAAATATCATAACGCAAAATATTAAACGTGAATTTTTATTATTGATTCATATATGCACGAATTTATACGTCTCTGTCATCTGTTGTGTACCCTCATTCTTATATGACTTTTATAAATCTTCCTTCTTTCTATCCACCCACATTCAAGCTTGAATTTTTATACTGCCTACATTTTCAAGCAAACATGCCTCAAAAAATAGAAAAAGTGAATATTCTATTGGCCATTTGTGCAATTTCGAAGGCCTGCTGATAAATAAATAAATATAAAAACGAACGATTGAATGTTAAAGAGGATGATTATAATTACTTGCAGGTGCATGTGCATGAGTGTGTGCGTGCATGTGCATGAGTATGTGCGTGTGAGTATGTGTTCTTGTGCGTGTGTGTGTATATGTGAGCATGTGATGATTTGGACTACAAACAAGTCTGTGGAAAACATGACTTTTAATCAAAGCTACTGAACTTCGTCAGATGCCACAGCCAGTGAATCCACTGACTGACAACAGCCACCTACGTTGCCGACCGTGCAAAATAAAATAAAATGTCAACGAGGTTTTTTACATTAGCATTTGCATTCCCAACACCGCCCCTGTTGGTTATGACGTCCTATCAAAACTTGCCAGAGCCGGTGATGCTGTTGGCAAAGTAAACGTGAACGTCTGGAGTGGAATGAGCGTGGAGTTGTGCTGATCCGAACATGGCTGAGTTCTATTGTTTGGTTGCAAAGAATAGAAAACTATTGTTGATACCAAATGCTTCCAAAAAATTGGTCATTTAGAAAAAAAAACTTCAAATTGTTTTAAAAATGTGTGGTAGAGCGGGCATGGAGGTTCTCCTCATACAGGCTTAGTTTTAAAGAACGGAGCTCATCAAACGAATGCCAGTTTTGAGAATACTAATAAAATCCTTTTTGAAACACCAAACACAAGCAGACAGTGACCACCGACTGATAAAAATTAAAAAAAGACTTTGTTCAGCACTGGGTGACTGAAGGAAACAGAAAATAAAACAGCAGCATAGATTTGTGGAACATGTTCGAACTGATGTTCACCTGGACAAAGGCTGTTTGCACACATGGAAACACATCAACAACGCGATCCATCGTATTAACGGAGCAATGCTGACTTGTTGTGGTTGTGATGGGATGAGTGTCAATTTTTTGCGTTCACTCGAGATGCATGAAAAAATTTGTGCTTGCGATTATGTGAAAGTTACTAATTTGTCCAATTTTGCATTGAAAAATTGAAAAAAAGAACACGACCAAGTGCAACGACACTATGCATATTCCTGAAGTTCGGGTGAATGTGAAAAATAACATCTCTTTGGATTAATTGTTTTTTATGTAATAAAAACATGAAATGTGTAAAAATGAATAGAGATAATGTGGGTCAAGGTCATAAATTAAATGGAGCAGTGATGGGAGATAACGATCCTCTCGACTTGACAGCGAATGAAATACATTCGACAACACCTTGAACTCAAACACGGCAATGCAAAAACTAATAAAAACCTGAAGACAAATGAAGGAATCCGTGAATCTTTATGTCTATATACATCTCTATCTACTTGTCTATATAAATCTCTATCTACATCTCTATCTACATCCTTATCTACATGTCTATATACATGTCTATCTACATGTCTATCAGCATATCATTATTGAGGCCGTAACAAAAAAGCATAAATAAATTCCATTGGAACATTGCTTGCAAACTAGCTAATGATTTTAGAATTTTTATTGAAGATGTGTGCAAGTTGTATAGTTGTATCACGGATATTACTTCCATTGTGTCACGTGTTTATCTTCATTCTTGTGTTTTTTTTTATAGTGTGCTCTCATCAAACTAACAGATATCAAAGGAGCAATTGAAACAAAGGCGTTATTTGTGAAAGACGTGACAATGACCCCGCCTACTTTTGTAAATCACCACAAGTGCTCTAATCTACGCCTGAACATTGTACATTAAATTGAAAATTTATGTAAACACACGAAATACACATTGGACATAAACTTAATCGTGCTCGTAAAGATAGGATATTGGCCATGAGATGTCCTACAATCATACACAAATACACACACACACACACACACAGACAGACACACACACACACACAGACAGACGGACGGACATAATTTGTATCGGACAATAATTATTTATTGATAACGCACGTAAAAGTGACGATCGTTCGAGTCACGATGTTTTGTTTATGGTCGTCATTTAACTTGTGTGACTGATGCTTTATTAGTTTTCGCTGTACAAACAGACATGCACACAACAAAACGCCGAAATGTATCATGTTGTACGGATTTTGTCAAACCTCCGATAAGCATGGCGATGACAGAGAATATTTTTTCCGCGGTGGTGTTGGGCGAGACGTTGCCGAAGCCAACGCTAGTGAGGCTGGTGCAGGTGAAGTAGAGGGCGCTGACGTATGATACCGAGATCGGCGGAAGGTTCGTCTTGTTTACAATCGGCTCGTCAAGTTTCTCGGCTAACTGGTACAACCAACCTTGGAATAATGGTCATCGATTGATTACTGTGAAGTATTGATAGGTTGTCATCATTGTAAATAAATAAATAAATATAAATTAATATAGATAAATAGTGGGCTTAAACGTAAGTTATATATGTCCATATCAAAATAGCATTAAAAGACAACAAAAAGCAATCAAACAATGGAAGTTACCATTATTTCTCATGTAAAAATAATAAAAGTAACTAAACAAATGTGCAAATTGAAACTCGCTGCAAAAATCTTCTAAATACTTTTTTTCATAAATTGAACTTACATATTTCTATATTCTGATTGGTAAGAATTCAGACTTATTTTATTGTACAACAAATTGCTTCGTTCTTTCAAGACGGCGTTTATGTACAATATAAATATAAATCAGATTTATCCATTTATCTATCTACCTATCCACATATCCATCCATCTATCTATTCATCTATCTATCTATTCATCTGTCTATCTATTCATCTATCTATTCATCTATCTATCCATCCATTTTATTTTATTTTATTTTATTTTATTTTCATTATAGAGGACCAAATAAGTTTAAAATAAACTTGTGGAGAGGCCACCCTTAACTAAGTCATTAATAAACATAAAGGTTCAAAGGTTAGAAAATTAAAAAACTAAATTTCGGTGTTCAAATGCATTCAAATACTATATCGAAATTTTATAAAAATGTTAACTCTAATGAAATATATTCAGATAATACTTCTGAACCAGTCAAATAATCATAATAATAACGGACAGACAAAAACACACACGCACCACACACACGCACCACACACACGCACGCACAACACACCCACACTTCTATTCATATTTAAACAACAGCTATATATTAATGTATATAAATCGTTAGATGGTGGTGTCGGGGTGAAGTAAGTAAAGCTGAGATGCAACCTTTTTTTGAAGAGTTGCTTGTTTGTTATGTTATGAATGGCATGAGGCAAAAATAATTTCCAAATTTTAGGGCCAGTTGTTTTTAAACTTGTAGAGATGAGTTTAAGGCGAGTTTTTACTGAGTAAAAGATAGTGGTGTGTCTAGTTTTGAGAGTTTGAACAGATTCACTGAGTGTAAAAAAGTTAGAAAAAAAGGAGGGAAGTAAATTATTTAAGAATTTGAATACAAAAATAGCTGTAAAATAAATGTATAAACAATTAATCGACAAAATATTATGTTTACTAAAAAAAGAGCTAGTGGGAGAGAAAGGGTTCAAATTGAAGATTAAGCGTATAGCTCTTTTTTGTGACAATATCATACAATAAAGATGGGTTTTTGGTGAGTTACCCCAAATGGTTATGCAGTAAGTGAGATGAGGATAAATAAAAGCATAGTAGAGTTTTTTTAAGGCGGATTTGGTTAATTTGTGCTTGATTTTGTAGAAAAGACCTATGAGCTTGTTAATTTTAGAGGAGATAGATTGCAGATGAGATTCCCAAGAAAGATTTTCAGAAATGGTTATACCTAAAAATTTAGAAGAAGATGCACGATTTATTGAGATATTGTTGATATTAAGGTTTAGGTTTGGAGACAAATTTGATAAGATTTTTGGGCCAAAGATGATATAAGAACACTTAGAGTAGTTTATTATGAGTTTATTAGCAGAGAACCAATCAGAATATTTAGAGAGCACTTGGTTAATTGAATCAGAACAGTTTGAGATGTTATCAGGAGTAAATAGGAGGTTGGTATCGTCAGCATAAAGCAAACATTTTATATCGGTAGATACATTTTGGATATCGTTAATATAGATTAGAAAAAGTAGAGGGCCTAAGATTGAGCCTTGAGGTACGCCGTTTAGGATGAAGGCCGTAGTAGATTGGTGATTTTCAACGGAGACGTATTGTTTACGTGAAGAGAGATAACTCTTAATCCAATCGTTGGCTACGTTTCTGACACCATAAAGTTTTAGTTTGTTTAGTAAGATGTTATGATTGATTACATCAAATGCTTTGGAAAGGTCTAAAAATAACCCAACTGAAAGCTTTTTGTCATTCAACCTGGATAAAATGTGATGTATGAAATCAAGAGTAGCAAGCTCTGTGGAGTGGTTTGGCCTAAAACCGTATTGATTATTGCAAAAAATTTTGTTGGCCTCAAAAAAGGAGAACAACCTAGTATAAACTAATTTTTCAAGAAGTTTGGATAGTGGAGAGGGAAGAGAAATGGGTCTATAGTTATTGATGTCATCAGGTTTACCGTTTTTAAATATAGGAATAACTTTAGAGGTTTTAAAAGTATCAGGGAATACACCAGTGGACAAAGATAAATTGAAAATATGGATTAGGGGAATTGTTAAATTGTGAATTGTATTTTTTATTAAAAACATATTTAATCCGTCAACAGCAACCGATTTATTATTTTTCATCTTGGCAGTTAAAGTTATCAATTCAGAAGTTGAGATGGGGTAAAAATCAATAGAATCAGATAGAGAGCGGCTTATGAATGAAATCGGATTAGTTGAAACAGCAGGAAGAGTAGAAAGAAGTTTGTTGCAGATAGTAATAAAGTGTTCGTTCAAGTGTTCACATATGTCCTGTTTGTCGTCAATGGGGATATTGTTAATGGTGAGTTTAGATATAGGAAGAAAAGATGAATTGGAGTTCAGGGCTTGCTTTATCAGTTTCCATTGGTATTTGGGATCGTTTTTAGAAATAGCAAAATTGATGACATATAATTTGCGCTCAGTCTTTCTTTTTATTGAAATGAAGAAGTTACGGAACTTTTTGTAAGCAGAGATGTTAGTATCGGTAGGAAATTTGATGCTTTTTATATATAATTTATATTTAGTTTTGGATAATTTGATGATATTTTTATTGATCCAACCTTTATGGCGTTTGTACTTGGAAGGTAGTTGTGGTGAGACAGCGTCTAGAATCCTGAAGAAAAGAAAGTAGAAATTTGTGCAACATTCGTTGATATCGGTTAGTGTAGTGACTGAAGACCAATCTTGATTAGATAAACAAAAGTTTATCTGCTCAAGTGATCTGTAGGAAAGATTTCTAGAAACTTTTGGAGGAGTAGTAGTATAATACATTTCAAAAGAAGAAGATGTGGTAAAAATAGGAAAGTGGTCTGAAAAGTCATGTAATAAAATACCAGAAGAATGGACTGATAGGTTGTTAGTAAAAATGTTGTCTATTAAAGAAGAAGAAGACTGAGAAACACGAGTAGGCTTGGATATAAGAGGATAAAAATTAAAAGAAGCTAAAAAATCAGGAAAAGATGCAACTGAGTGGTTAAAAAAAGGTTTCAGGAGATTTATGTTAAAATCACCAACAAGATATGTATTAGATTTAGATTTAAGTTTCACAAAAATGAGATTGAGTACTTGAATAAGCAAATCAATATCCGAATCCGGGGGTCTATAGAAAGCATATAAATATATTACTGCGTTGTTTAATTTGATTTCGATACCCAAGTAGTCAACTACACAATTGGAGAGCGTAACTTCATCCAAGACTGAATAATTGATACCCTCCCTGAGAAAAATCCCAACACCACCACCTTGCTTGTTCGGTCTGTTTTTGAAAATAAAATTGTAATTAGTTAATTTAATAAGTTTAGCGGATAACTCGTTCAACCAAGATTCAGAGATAACTATTATGTTAAAAAAATTATCTAAAGAATTAATCAAAACAAGTAAATCATCAACTTTATGTAATAAACTCCTACTGTTAATGTGCAAAATGGATAGTGAAGAGTTGAATGGAAGAATTTTGATTGTATTGAAAGTATAATTAAAATCGTTGATAGTGTAGTAAGGAAAATTATAAGAAAAAGAATTAAGTAAATTAACATCAGGATCAATGTTAGAAAAAAGAATATTATCATTATTGGAGGAAGTAGTTGAATAATTATTTAACAAAACATTCGAAGCTGACGATATAATCAGAGGGTCCTCTTCCGATATATGATTGTTAGATATTTTAGCCATTGTTAGTTGATGTAGTTTGGCCAGATTTACTGTTGAGGAACCGCCATTCACGGATGATTACGTTTTCTGGCAAATTGTCAGGATCTTGAATTTTAGAAGTATCACTGGCGTTGATGCATACTCTGAACATTGTTGAGTCTTCGTCTTCATTACGAGGCAGAGTACCTGACGGAGCCAGAGAGCGTTTCAGCACTGGATAGCACGAAATTACCTGAATACCCACCTCCGATAGGTAGTCAATCACATTACTTCTGCTGCATTTTTTGATATTGCTCATGGCAAATACAGATTTTTTGATCAATTTTTTATCAGCACTGAGTTTATTATTATCGTTTTTTTAGCGCCATCTATTTTAGTGGGTAATTTTGATGATTCCAATTTGTTGCTAGTTATTGCAGGATTAGGTTGATTGGTTTCAGGTGAATTGTTAAGTCTTGGTCTTTTTTTGTTACGAGCAACAACACTGAATGGCAAAGGGTTGTCTTCTAATGGAGATTGAACTACATCTGACCAGAGTGTAGCTGAATTAGCTGGATTAGGCATAGTTACGATGTTGTTTTTTTCCGGAAATATTGCCGTCGAAGTATTACTCGAATGACTGGCAAAATTATAGTTATCTCGTTTGGACGCTAAATGATTTATCTTGTTGTTCAATGTTGAAATTTCAATGCCGTGCATGTCTATTGCATTAACAATTTTTACCTGTTGAGCGTACAACATTTCTTTAATTTCGTTTTTCAGATTTTTGAAATTAACTTTAATTATATTGTCAAGATTAGGAACTTTAGCCAGATTAACACTAGCAAATAACGAACATTTTTCTAAAACACTGTTATTTTTCAAGTATTTCAAAATTGAGACACAATCTAGGAGTTTTTCTTTTTTTGTATTACCACGACCAACTAACTTGTCTAATTTATCCAAATTTTGAGTTTCCAATTCAGTTTTCAAAGTTTTCAAAGCAGATATGAAATCTTCATTAGTATAAAAGTCAGACGTGTTAGCAATAAAATTATCATTATCAAATAAATCGAAGTTATTTGACAAAAAGTACAGGACTTCGTTAGCAACGACCTGTCTTGTCGCCATTTTGTAAATATTTTTTGTATCTATCCATCTATCTATCCATCTATTTATCCATTTACCTATCCATCTCTCTAGGCACTAACCAACAGTCCAATTAGCGGGATGTTGCAGCAGCTCCTCTCTGCCCAGAAAGTACCAGACGCAGGCCAGCCAATGCGCCAGCACTGTGAACATGGCCATCAGGAGAGTGAGGACGACGAAACTGTGCTGCGAGTATCGATCTAGTTTCTGTAAGAGACGAGCCAACCGCAACAGACGAGCTCCTTTCAGAAGGTGTATCAATGTTCCCTGCGTTGGAAACGAGGTTTCAGAAATTTTTCACATCGTAATATTTTATCAGAATTTGTTACTGATGTAGAAGTGAGAAAATAATATAAACATAAAAAACAAAAAAAAATGAAAGAAAGAAAAATAAATAGCATCTGGTACCGTGTCGACTTGAAAAGCGTAGAGGAGATCAAACGGAATGGCGGCCAGCAGGTCAAGGACGAACCAGCCACGCAGGTAGTTGAATGCGATGAGTTTTGGTTGGTAGATGACTTGGCCACTCTTGTTAACATACGTCGTCTGGAAGTTGAAGATGATGTCTGGATGGTGCGTTGGAATAACTCAAATTGAATTGATTAAAATTGAATCACAGTTATAACTTTCTAGAATAAAATAAATAACAGTTACCATGAAAAGCTGATTTTCAAAATTGTCAGTTATTGTAACTTTGAATTGAACTTTTTTACGAAAACAATTTTTCAAACTATTTTACGGTTTGGCTATCATAAGTTCTCAAAAAATCAAAAACTTTAATATGTAAGCAAATTTAAATACCAAGACGACTATTGATCATAGTACCAAATAACCTGATTAAATAAGAATACATGTATTATCAATTTTTTAAAACTTTTTCAGTAACAAACAATAACAACATCCAAAATGTACAACAAACAACTGCACCATCAAAAACGTGCAAAATCAAACAACAACTGCACTATCAGAAATGTACAACAAACAACAAACAAACAACAAAAACAGGAAATACATACAAACAAACAACAAACAAACAACAACACCACGAAAACGTACAAACAAACAAACATCGGCAACTACTGACCAATGATGAAAAGCATTTCGACGAAGACATCAAAATAGAGAGTGATCCTCTGGTTGTTTCCTTCCGATGTGGCGATGAATGCTGCGTTGTAAGGCACCATGATGGCTATGTAGAAAGTGCACAACAGGATCAACCAGTCCCAACCTTACACGATTTCAAGTCACTAAATTTATCATGGGTTTCAACTATTTTTATAGCAAATTTTTTTTTATTTTTTAAATTTTGTTGTAAGAAATTTTAAAAAACCTTTTAAAATGCATAATTTATTGTCATTATTTTTCCACATTTGTCAAAAACTGAATCAGTTAACCTTTATCCTTATCACAGTCGTCATCACTACATCAACATCCTCATCAACATCATCATCATCATCATCATCATCATCATCATCAGTGACTCACAAATTCTGGTGAAGCTGTAGTGTAGGAGGATGAACCTTGACCTTTTGATCTCCTGAACTTTGTACTCGGGAATGTCGTTCGTGCCGCTGAAAGTTTTTATCTGCGTGCATATCATCCAGAGGTCAATTGTAAAAAATGTGCCAATCATGTAGTATACATCGAGACAGGTTTTTATGAATCTAGATGGATCATTAGATGAGATTTTATACGAATCATCAAACAAATAATATTTATTTTTTTATTAACTTAATTATTTATGTGATTTGGATGCAAGCAATGAATAGGATTGCCTAGCAGTACCATGGTTTACGCTTCTAACAGCTGGTTCGTTCAATTAAGTTGCTTAGCACAGAATCACGCAAACAAATACACAAACACACTTGTATGTTTTGATTATATACAATATTAAATGAAAAAAATGTTTTACGTAATAACGATTTTTTATTTTAGACATATTAAATTTTTATTTTATCAGTTTGCTAATCTTGAATCCTATCTAAATGAATTTTTTAGCAAAACTGTTCAGTTATAGTAGTCAGAAATATTACAGCTGAAGCTTACCAAGTTCATTATGTATTCATTAAATTTGAATTGAGTTTCATTCACTGTGCCGATTGTTTGAGCTGGTTGATTGGTTGATGGTTAGTTGGCTGATGGTTGATTCGTTGATTGGTTAATTGGTTGATTGGTTGGTGGTTGATTGGTTGGTGGTTGATTAGTTTATGGTTGATTGGTTGGTGGTTGATTGGTTGGTGGTTGATTGGTTGGTGGTTGATTGGTTGGTGGTTGATTGGTTGGTGGTTGATTGGTTGGTGGTTGATTGGTTAATGGTTGATTTGTTGTCTGGCTTACTTGCACTCACAATTTTTTATTGTATGTTCAATCCTTCAAAAATTTTATTTGAATTTGCATTTTTCATAAGTATATTTTTACTTTCGTGCATTTTCTGGATTTCGAAATTTTTGCCTGACACTTTCACTAATTTAACTTTGTCGAATTGGCAAACAATTTAACCAAGTAATGGATTGGTTTTGGGAGGAAGATTTGAATTTATTAAGTTATGGTGGGGTGAGGCCTGGTTGCAGTTTTGAAAAAAGCTGGTCTGGTATAGTGATGTGGTAGTTTGAAAAAGGAAAAACACAAACGAAATAAACTAAGGAAGAAAATGAAACAAGTTATGAAGAAGTTTTTCTCTACTAGTTACATGGCCATAAATAATAAATTCAATGTAAATTTCATGTCTCCCTGCTTTGAATGTGTGCTGCAAATAGCAATTTTCGTTGTCTCGGCAGTTCCTTTCAACGGTTCAACGAACTGCCAGCCTGTCTTGTGATATAAATAACACCTGATCATTTTTCTCAATTTCATCTGCTTCATGCAATTAAATAATAGAAAAAATAGAAAAAAAAAATTTCTTGATCATAAATTTTAAAATGTTAATGTCATTCAACACTAACTTAAAATATATCTAAAATGTTCGCCCCATTGAAACATACGCTGTTCAAAATAAAGAATTTAATTTATTTCCAATCAACAGTTACTTAATTCATAGGCGTGTTTAGTTTGATTTCATATGAATGAACTGTTTGTACTTATCTTTTTTCAATCAGTAAGCGTGGCGTGTTATTGATGTTTGTGTAGCACACGTTTCGTATTTATCTTCATTCATGTCTGTTATTTCCACATGAATGCTTGATTTAAAAAAAAAAATCTCTTCTATGAAAACATTTGCAATGTTTATAAAATTCGAACCACAGAAAACATTTACGTTACGACGAAATGAAATGCTGTCGAAGAACACGGGAGCCATGTGAATAGAACATGTGACACTAAAATGATGACGATGACGACCGGCGTAAATGGTGTTAAGAAGAGTTCTAAACAGACACACCACACCTATGCCTTCACGTTGAAGTTCATCGCACGAATCCCTTCTACCAGCCATTCACGTGTGTTCAGTTTGCTTTCAAATGAGTTATTTATAGTGGCACGTCATGCATGTACGGGTTTACAATAACTGTCTACGTATGTGTGTGTGTGTGGGTGTTGTGTGTGTGTTGGTGTGTGGTGTGTGTGTTGGTGTGTTTGTTGGTGTGTGTGTGTGTTGGTGTGTGTCAATAATATTTTTAAGTGTTTAATTTAGATAAGCAATTTTGTAGAGCAACACAACTGCGCTTCAGAACAAACATAATCAAAACAAGTAGTTGATCCAATTATACGTTGATTTATTTATGGCTCTTCATTCATTACTTGCTTGTTCTTGTTCTTGTTCTAGTTCTAGTTACTAGTTTTGCTATTTTTTCTTGTTCATTGTTGCTTGTCTATTTGACTTGTTCATTTTTTTATTTTTCGTCTCTATTTTATTATTTATTTCTTCATCTTTTCCTCCTAGCCTAGATGTTAATTCTGAATGAATGAAGATGAGCAGCAGGGAGAGCATATGATGGAATTTATTTTGCCTTATTAGATTTTCAATGATAGCCCATAAATTAAATAATTTTAATAATTGTGTTATTATTAATATTTTGTGACAAATTGATTGTTGTTAATGTTAATGCTGTTCTATCTAAGAATTGAGTTGGTTGATTTGTGTATTATATAGCTAGTTAGGCTCAATTATGCGACATCATTTTGGTAACTGTTGTTTTGAGGTTTTGGGATTGTTGTGTTGTGTATTGTAGTTTTGTTTAAATAACGTTCATGATGTTAGTGTTGATGTAATATTTGTTGATGTGATTGATGATGTTTTGATAATGTTGCTGCTAGAAATGTTGTTGCTGCTGTTGTTGATATATTTCACTGAATATCTCATGAGGTTTGTCTGATGTAACTATTATTTTTATTATTCTTATTATTATTATAATTATAATTATTATCTTTGTTGTTGTTGTTGTTGAGTTCTTGCTAGTGCGTTATTTGTTGCGGTAGTTGTGAATGTTATTTTAGACTGAACCGCAAAGCCAATATTTTTTTCTTTAAAAAAAAAAGGTTCGTTAATTTTTTTAATTTCATGTTCAATTTGATTTTTTTCTTCTTACCCTGGCCTAACCTTTTCTAATAAAATTTTTATGATTACCTTTTTGGCAGCATAAAAGAACCAACGAATAAAATGAATAAAAGTTAATGCGTTCGTTGCCTTAAACATTTTCTTGGCAACAGGATTTAATCCGCGTTAAATACTTGCCAACTAACGATAATATATAGAAATGATAGATGAATGCTTCTGTAATGCTATGGAAAGTAAAGCGAACGTGTCAAAGTCCACAACTTTGAGCACCGACCGTTAAACATTTCCACACTAACACACATTTCCACACACACACACACACACACACACACACACACACACACAAGCACGCACGCACACACACACACACACTATTTTCACAACTTCACACTTACGCACCATTTTCCAACCCACACACTTCTTTTGCACGCATATGCAATATGCATAAGTAGAATTTTTATTAGAATAACCCAAATTCGTTATATTTTTGCGATATATATTTATCTTAACAATTTGGTAAATTTGTGATATATATCTATCTTAACAATTTGTTAAATTTGTGATATATATAATAATACAACATAAACAACAAAAACATAAACAACATAAACAACATAAAACCCCAACTACACATATCACTGCAGTAACCACAAAAATTTCATTTACAGGAATAAATCCACATTCGAGCAGTCTCAACATGAACGATTTTAACATTGCAACAGTTCAATTTATTCACCGAAACCATCAAAAAGGAAGAGCACAACATCGTCTGCGCCAAAAACATTCAAACCAGCCAACCAACCAACCAACCGCACACTTCAACAATTCTCACAGCATCATCAACAAAATGATTAACTGCAACAGCAATGAAAAACAACAATCTGTTGTTACTCGTTAGTCATATATTAAGCATAATGTAGCATTAACGTCATATCGCAGTTTTGTTCTCTAAAAAATATAATGGTTAAAACAATTAAAACCTATTCCACTCTTCCAAAGTTTAGAAAAATCAATAACACACAGAAAGCGTACCGCACATAGAGCCTGTTATAAGCGCGTTCTTTTTGCCACATTTGAACCCGGTCACTGCGAAACAGCACCAGGCGACCTTAACCACTAGGCCACCACCACGCTGCCTTTCGTGATTAACATGCAAGATAGCATCATTTAAAAATCACACTTCGAAACATTGTTATTTTTACTAAAGCATGCAAAAATGTTTGCTTATGAAGATGTATTTTTTTTTACACAAACACACTTATATTGGCTGAGTATGGAGTTTTTAGCATGAAATAACAGAATCGAAAAATCTTGACATAAATAAGTTGATTCCTCCCCAAGCAAATTTCATATTTTTAATTACCAATTTTTTATTGATTAATTTAGAGTTGGACGCAATCAATAGCTCTACTCGTATTTGCTCGTATCTATCCGCCGGCATCTGTCCGCTTTACAAGAGAAGAAGCAATTGGACGATAAACAACTTGTTGGTAACCTGGATGGTACATTGCACCTGCATTTTTAATCTGCATACGTCATTCCTTCAATTGTGTTTGGTGGAAACTGTGGATTTTTTATTGCATTGTTTTGTACTGCTAGCACTGGATGGTACTATATCGTGATGTGATGTTGGTACTAGGTTGTTTTAGTATTATTAGTATTATTATCATCAGCAGGAATCAGTAGTAATAACTACTGTAATGGTATGTTTTAGAACTGTGAATTGATGTATGTATTGTATTGTTGGTACCTACTACAGCGTTACGTGTTGGTAGGTGCTATAAAATGACGATGTATGATGGTGTAGATACTAGGATGTGTTTGTATTACTGGTACTGGAATGTGTTGTGTATTATAATTGGTAACATGAGATGTTATATTCTATTGTATTATATAGTTTTTTTTTGTATTGTATCGAATTGCGTTACCTCGCGATGCAGTTTATTTATCCATTGTCTGTTGAAGTATTGTATCTAAATGTATTGTGCTTTGGATTGCATCATACCGCGTACTCCACAGAATGGCATCTTGTTACATTTCCAGGTTTTCTGGGATGAATTGTATTGTTAGTATGGAAAACTTTGAAAATTAAT